TCATTAATTAATTGAATATTTCCTTCTATACTTTTTAGCACGTACCTATTTATTATTAGCATTGTTCTTCCGACGTCTGATTTCTTTTTAATTATGGGAAATGCATTTTTCTAAAGTACATAAACTTTTGTAGTTGATTGTATAGCCAATACATCCTTAAGGCATATTGCGAAACATTTAGTGAATGAAATCTTCGATGAATATGAATGAACAGATTAAGTGATATTTCAATCAAAGGGAGATCTCTTTTTTTATTTCGTTTGATAGAAACTTTTGTGGAGCCTCGGATATCCCTTCATTCCAAGTACGATTTTATTGAACCTGTTCATCGTGGTATAATTTATACTCTTTCAAAACGTGATTCTGATCTTTGCTCATTTTTAATATCTCTCAGACTCTTTGATAAATAATAATCCCTTGGAAGTGTCCTAAGACTTCTGAACGCATTTGCTTGGATTTCGAGCGACGATCTCATCATACGTTTCAATTATGATTTTTAAGGTAGGTAGGCGATATCGGGCGTGGTAAGGATGAACTCGCGGCCGTGGGTAAGACGGAGATGACCACTAGATCCGTGCCTCGTCCTGAAGACGAAGACGAGGAGGACGAGGAAGAAGAGGAAGAAGAAGAAGAAGAGGAGGAGGAGGAGGAGGAAGTCGACAAGGAGACTCGTCCGAGTCTACGATATCACTGCCACTGATATCCACTCTCTCGTCGCATCGATGCCGACCCCCGCGTCCATTGACAGAGGTAAACCTTTTTAATTAACTCTAGCAAAAACCAGAATTCATATTAAAAAGCAGAAATATCATATATTTCTTACATGTTTGAAAATTCTTCATAATTTGGAAATATTTCGTTCCAATTTTAGTTCCCTTGGCATGAATAAAAGTGCCTTTTAATCTTCGGTAGTTCTGATGCTGAGAAGATACGTGGAGCTCGATTTAAGCGAAATTTGTGATAGATAGATTATGGAAATTGGGTGTTAAGAGTCCCCAGAGGTTTAGATAGGATTCTTTTTTCGCACGATAAAATCGGCCAAGTGAATCTTGACCTAATCGAATTGTTTACGCTCGAGGCCTTGACGCTCGCCAGACCACCAAAGAAATTTCGGAAACGAGCTGTGGAATATATGCTCTCCGTTACGAAACTTGTTTTCTCGCTACGTCGCCTCGTTATTCCGTCGACGCTTTCATCGCCCGAATTATTTTTCACAGGGTAATTCCTGCAATTTTCCCTTCTTACTGCCATTCACTGGGAAAAGAATCGGCCGTTCCTGGAAACGAAATGAAAATGCACCGGGAACGACGTAAATATTTCATCCGGTCTAGAAACTCGCTTAGAATTAAAATCTGTTCCGATTAATAAATACAATTAATTAAATGGAAATCCTCTTTCCGCGGAGTCAAATATCGTCGGGCTTGCTTTGTTAAATTAATCCTACACGTATAATTTAATTCTTGTTCGAATGAACCACGGATTGAATTAACTTGGCTGTTAGGCCCGGACGAAAAACGTGATTAAAATAATGGTCTCGATGAATCGAACGTTGAGCTAATCGAATTTCTATGACTACATTGAGGTGAATCCGTACCGAAGGCCGCGGTCTAAATTCGTCTCGTAGAATTTCATCTCTTATTCCTCTCATGGATTCTACACGCGACCTTGCCTCGTGGACATTAAAAACGACCATGCATCTAACACGAACTTTTCCGTTAGGATCTCCATAATAATCTCCATACCTCCCAAACTTCTAGGTAGACTCGAATCGTCTCAATAAAGAATTATATGTTACATATAATATAATATTTCATATAAAAATAAATTGTTTATTCAATAAAAAATTATAATTAGCCAGAATGTAGCAGAAAATTTTGTAACGATTCCCTTTTGTCCTCGAAGAAAGAGGACGATACCGTAAGAGAATTAAATCGTGATCCGTTGAAGGTTCCTCGGGAAGCAGGGAAAATTGTATTTCCCCGGGAACTTTATTTCGACCGTTCAACTCGGTTAAAACAAAATTTTGTGCCCAAGTCGCGGCGGGGAACAGCGAAAAACTGTAAGAAAAACGGCAGCACGATAAATCCTGCAGCAGGTACACACAAAGTAGCCCGAGTACCTTTTCTCATCGTTATTCTTTTATTCCTTTCCGTCTTTCTTCTGTATCACCGCGGCGGTGCTTCAGGCCAGGCTATTATTTTCCGCGGAATCTTTGTGGAAATTTTGCCCGGCTCGTCGTCCGGTCAAAATAATGTACACATTTTTGCATAAACGAATGGTCCAGGCGTACAACACTGCGTTCTTAACGCGAGCCTTGAGCTACTTTAAGGCGGCCGAATTCAATTCGACTATCCATCCCTCGACTAAGGAAAAATGCAGGAAGCATTGAAACTCTTCCGTATAATGGAGCCCGGTACCATAGGTCGACCTATATCAGGCTTGACCTTTGTCCTACCGCATGCGTGAACATTCTTTCCCTTCCCGTTTCATCTCCCGTCGAATATTCAACAATTTCGTAATTAATAATCGTGCAAAATTAATTGGATTTATTATGTTTCTCAAGAAATGAAATATAGTAACAATTCCCTCCGATGCTCTGAACATCATTTACGTAATTAATTAGTCGAAAAATAAGATGCTGTTCAGTTTTAAATAGTGTGTTCAGTTTTTAACTGGAAATGTAAATGAATTATTCGTTTATCTTTACCGTGCGGTTAATTAATTAGCGTTTAGGAGACATCGAATTTCACGGGAGTAGCGTTGAATTAAAATCAGATTTTCACGAATTTTCATTGCCCGCGAGAGAAAAACGAAACTCGACGTAACGATGTGAAACAATGGATTTGAAATGATATTAATTGGAATTGCTGACCCGTCGATGGATATCGAATTTAGTTCAACGACGAGAACGACTGATTGCAGCTGATTATTTTGATGACCCTGGCTGTGACAATGGCCCTCGCGGCAAGCGAATGGACACGTTTTTTTTTTTTTTTAATGGGTCAAGTGTGAACTACTAATTACACCAGTAGTCCGCGGCGAGCCTCTTTGCTAGATAATACCTTACGTATTATAGAATCTTTCCTCTTCTATCCTTGCAGAATAATTAAATCGAAGAACCAGAGTGCTCTTCCCTCGTTTCTTTCAGCGAACACTTTAAGGTTGTTCAGGCTATAAATTAAAATAGTGACACATGTTTAGAATTTTGCAAATAAATTTAACGCGAGTAGCTACATAGCAAAACCAGAGAGCACGTATGAATATTTACGGATACTGTATAGTCAAAATAACGTGAATTTATTATTACTACTTTTATTAATTTATTATTATTACTCCGATGTTTTATCCTATTATTCTTTTTATTTATTTCATTCTATTTTTTGTATTAATTACTATTATTTATGTAGCAAAAAGGGTTCTACCTGTTAATAAAGTTAAAGTTAATACACAAAAATCCAATCTTCGACGATACTTCAGTGGCACAATTTTATCTCTTTCGACAGTCGATTCGTTTCATAGATCTTGTCAGGTTTATGAGAATTTTTTAATAGGCTTACATAGAAAACATAGACACATAAATGAAAGCGAGAGTGATCATTTTCAATGATAGACATATGAGATATTTGCTCAGCGTAGACTTTGTTTTACTCCAACGTGGCAGGGTGCATGATGGCAGAATGTACGTTGGAACCGATCGTAAATTAACGAATGATCGATGAGCTCGATGTTCGCTAGATCCGAACGGGGTAGTACCTAGATCAAGACGAATCGGCGTCTATTAGAACACAAGGAACGGCGGCGAAGCGCAGGCTGGCGAGGCAGATGGTTAATTTCGATAAGGCGGCGAGCTTATTATCGAGTGGGTGGAGAACGGAAGGCGAGCCGATGTAAGCACGTATCGTAGCTTTTGTGGCTGGCAGAATGGATTCCATAATGAGATGCCGTGTAAACTGGGACATCTAATTATACTCGAGTGCACACCACTCCAGAAACGTTCGTTCGGTCGTCCCTGGAGCTCGAGCCTGGCTCCTGTCGAAACGATAACGAATATTCAAGGATCACCCGACAACGAGGCTTTACAATACTCGACGATTGTAATTTACTGGTTTCTCTCGCTCGCCGGCTTTCGATATCCGCTGTAATATCGAACCGATTCCTAACTCCATTGCCAAATGAGAATTGCTACAGATCATCCCTCCTCCTCCACGAATTGTACGGCTCGCAGTTTTAAGAACCCATTGATCAGTTTGTTCTCCAATATAAATGGGACTCAGTTTCGTTCGGTACAATGAATATCGTTTAACGAGAAATGGATTAATTTGTTCGTTCTTAAAACGCCTAGTAGGTGAGCTCTTCGTCAAGGGAATAGTACAGCTCGCTCGTTTAAATCATTGATTAGTTTGTTCTTTGGTATAAGTGGCTTTAAGTTGTGAGTTCTGTTCAGTAAATAGTAAATACTATTTAATGAGCAATGAATTGATTTGCACCATTCTTAAGCTATACGAGAAAGTGGGTGAGCTCGTTGTGACTTCATAACTGTTGATAATGTATGGATGAGAATTGTCCGATCTTGACGTAGCGAAATAGAAATTGTATGCGCCGAAAGCTTGAGAGAATGCAAGAGGATTGTATATATATCTATACTACGTACCTACTACCTACAGCTAAATAGAATTGTTACCTACTCCAGTATTACGAACCAGACTCGACATCATTTTTAACATTTTCACTATAATTTCTGACGATATTAAACTCCTTTTCGTAAGTCAATATAAATATTCCTACGCGTTTCAAATAGAAATTAATCTAAATATTGAAATCGATCTAATCAAGTTCGATATTAAAAGTTCAGGTTTTAATGCAATTTTGTATGTGCGTTTTACTCTTATCAGATTCGTTAGCGTTCTGTCGTAAGAAAATTGTTAAGTCGGTGGCCAGGAAAAACTAGTGACCGGACGAGCAAACGAACCGACCGACTATTATCCACGATTGTGAAAGATTGGAAACGTTCCCGAAATATCAGTTATCGGGCATTCGAGATGGCAAAAAGAAAGAACGTGGTCGGAAAGCGGTGATGAAAGAGAGCAAGAGAGAAAGATGGGGAGAGAGAGTGAGAGGGGATGGGATGATACCGAGTGGGATGCAATCACCAGAAGAACAATCAGTCCTAAGTATGAGCTTTTCAAGCACCATCGGTATATCTCTCTGAACCATAACGACTCCCTATTTTCTTCCGTCTCTCATTCGTCTCGTTACTCTTCACCGTTTTATACTAATTCGTGATCACTCGCTCCAAACGGAAACCGTACCTCGGATTCCCACGATCTCCCACTTTATTATCGTGCGTTCAATTCAAATAGAACCAGACAGCAATTTCATTTCTCATTTAAAGAACACCGCGTTTATTGAACGCTCTATCTCCTCAAATACTTACGAACATGTCACCCCGTTAATGGATTAGAAACCATCGAAAGGAGGTGCCAACTTCACTTTCAATGCAATTTTTTAAAGTAACACCCGAACGATTGTTTCGTCCGACCGATAAGGTCACATACTAATCAGTAGGAACGTCAAGCCGCGGTCCATTAAGTAATTAGATGCGTTCCCAGGTTCAATCATTCTCCATATACGATATTATACGATTATTCGCCCTTGTTTATGCGATTGGCATCGTAACTTCTGTTCTATTCCGTTGGTTTTAATATACGATGTTCGGAAAATGGAAAGTAAAGAGTATTAAAGACGATTTTGTGATGGTACGTGGCAAAGAAGGGCTGAACAGTAACAGTAGATTAATTATCGTCGTACAAAGAGTAGTCGAATTTCCACGTTAAACGAAAGAAGCCGCAGTCACGGGTTCCTTTTTATTTCGTTTGAAACGCGACCGGAGAGGCCGGGCTGGAACATTGTACTCTCAAAACATAGTGACAAGAAAAGGCAGAAGCAACAGTGAGCCGACCGTGAGCTTTGACCCGGTGACCCGTAGCGCGTGGGCCGGGAAGAGGGCACGGAGCGACGGGAGGGGTTCTTTCTCCTCTTGCAGCCTGGAATCGATACCCGGTTCCCCTGCCAGCTCAACCACCCCGACAAATCCTCCGTCCACCCTCTCCGCCGCACCGAGAGAGCTGAAATGCCTTCGACCGCCTACCTGCCCTATATCGATTCCCATCCGACACGACCCCTTTTGTCCGTCACGAAGAAAAGGACGATTTCTTTCTTGATTGCTTTACAAATTGCTCACCCCCGACTACTCGACCCTTATCATTGTTCTAATAATAATATTCTTCGTCTGCGCTAATAAATTAATCGTTTAGCCAATCGACGCTTGACCGTATCAACAATTCTGAGAAATTTCTTTGTTACACCGCGTGCGTTTATATGTGGATGAGACACTTCGACGCTTGATACTCATTGTCAGATCTTTTTATATTATTAATTTATGTAGCGTTTCACAATTTATCGAACGGCACGACACGTCGTGCAATATATTTATCATAGTTTGGTATGATTCGACCGCGATTATGTCTTGGCTAGGGTACTTGTTCCGCTCCCCGACGCGGCTCGATTTCATAAATTCAGTTTGCCAGAGTAGTTCGGTTATCAATTTACCAGTTTGCCTGCCACGCTGGATAGAAACACGAGTTTCATTTATACGTGTAAGCGTAGCAGCAGTTTGAAAGTGGGGCTCCGCGAGTTTTAGTGTATTCGTGTCCGCCTCGTCTGCACGTTGGCGAATATCGAAATACGTAGGTTTGATTTACGAGATATCCACTCGCTTGGCTGCGGTAAATGAGCCCCATTAATCAAAAAGACAATTTATTTTATCGCCGCCCGCTTATTTGTCAGAAAAATAAAATTGCGACCAGGCAGCTAGTCTTCATTCAGACGACCGTTTCAATTACATTAACGTGTTACCATCTATCGTCTCATAGATCAAGATATACGAGTCTATGTACTCCCAATTGCTTATCATCTATCAAAAAGTCTGACTAATATTCGAAATTAATGACCGTTGAAGACTCAAATCATCATAAATATTTCATGGCTCATACGACTAATTTATAATAGTAATGAATATTTAATGTATAGAAAGATAGAGATCTCGGTAAGCAATTGCGTGAGGGTTTACTGAATTCCTTTAGTCTAGGTCTAGGTAATAGACGTCGATCCGAGTAATGAAAGATACTTTGTCACGAATTTAAGGATGTATTGGCTATACAGTTAATCCCACAAGTTTATGTACTTTAGAAAAACACATTTCTTTTTCTCAAAATTTCGAAAAATGCTTCAAATACAAGTTGTTTGTCTTCTAACTTCGATACTTAACGAGTTACATATGATTATTTGGCATTTTATTGATGTTGACAAAATCCGACCATCCCAGCGTCGAAGTGGCGAACTTTTGGCAAAAAATTTCGTTTTTCCTCAATAACTCCTAAACCCTTGGAGATACGGGAAAATTGCATAGAACCTTTCTTGTAGAGGACGACGAGATCTATAATTTCCATGTAAAAGTTTGTCGCTAGCATTAATAGTTTACGAGTTATTAACGAAAAACGAAAAAACAGTTTTTTGCAAATTACTCGTTAACTATTGACGCTAGCAAGAAACTTTTACATGGAAATTGTAGATCTCGTCGTCCTCTACAAAATGAGCCTACAAACATTCCCCTAAGTCCATTCGTTTGGAAGTTATGGGCAAAAAACGAAAATTTCGCGAAATCTGAAGG